TGTTCTGTACAATGGAACAATCCTATTGGGATGCCTGTAAACTTCCAAATTTGTAAAATTGTTCATAAAATACTGCTAGCAAGAGGAAGTTTGTTTTGCTGCAATTAAAATACCCAAAGTAACAGGGAAAGAACAAAAGAGACCTCCAATATTTGGGTGTCTGATAATGTAACCTCACTTAAAATGATTTTTAAAAGTCATTTTTACACCACAAGGAAGGTTGGGAACCAGAGTTCAATGACAAGGGCTAACATTTAGAACAGACAATTCCCACCAGTATGCTAAGATTTAGGGACAAAGCAAGAATTTAGTGATGTGCTAGGAATCCAGTTTGAGGTTGGGAATTCCTCCGATTTTCTTGGCTCGGTTCCCCAGACTCCAGTCCACTTTCTCTCCGCCCAGAGTCTGACTTGTGCTAAGGGAGATATCTCGCAGGAAGCCAATCCCACTGCATATCACGGTGGACTGGTTTGCAAGCATATTGGCCACATGCCCATTGCACAAGCAGAGTTCTGCTTCCAGACATGTGACTCGTGGGCTTTTGTGTATTATATGGGCCTTGTGCCCATACACTATAGCTGGTGGCAGGGACTGTGCATGCACACTTAGCACTGCTGGCAGGTCATACATGTTGTGCTTGGTCCAGGTAACTGCATCCTTAGTGGGAGAATAATTCACTAGTCCTCATGAGCACTTCAGTTTTGATCTCAGCTTGGTCCATTTCCTAGGCCAGGAATGAGCATGGGAAAGGGGTTTGGTGATTAAGGGAAGCAGATGCCAGGCGGATCTTTACATCACTGCACATGATAGATGAAAGACCGATATATGTTCATAATGGTTGGCAGAACAGTAAATAGATCCGCTGCACCCATGGCAAGGCACATAGTTCCTCTAGCAAACAATGTGCTGCCCTTTCATAAAACCTGAGGTGACCATTTCATAATAGAAGGGAACAACCCCGTGATTATGAAAGCTCCCCAAAAGTCATCTTGACTCAACTCCTTTATCTCTTTATCTTCTATTTTAAGGCTGTGCAGTTCTGCATGGCTTAACAGCAACTCACTTTCAACAAATACTAAATATGAAGAATATTAGTTACTGACCTATTGATATCATATTGATATATCAATAGATATCATATTTCCCTCTGTTGCAATAACAGAGGTAATTATAGTTTGGTCAATTTTTGCATTCTAATTTCATTTTATGGGGAAACCTGGATCTAAAGATTGGCAAGAAAGCTTTTATTGAACAGATGGAACAGATAAGCCAATTTTTATCCAAGAGCTACTAGCAGGTTCTGATGGTGAGTTTCTTCCATCCTCTGCTTTGTGTACTAAAATGAGTTGCCAGGAAAACTGAGAAGCACCACCTGCAACTGAAACATTTGCAGGAAACTGGGTCTGACCCTAGTGCTTTCACTGCTTCAGAGTCTCTTCTGTTATTGGAAGAACGAATCAGGGCTGAGCAGCTCTCTCCATGTTTATAAATACGTTGGTGAATAAATAGGATACAAAGGGTCTTAAAAATGATGGAATAACAAATTTGATTGCCCTATTTTGCCCAGTCAGTGGATTGCTGCAAATCTATCTCAGAAGGGTTAAAATTTTAGGTCATGTTGAATCCAGTATATTCTGATATACTGGATGCCACAATATCTTTTCAATGCAGGTTTATCTAAATCAGGTAAGTGTTGGAGGTGTAAGAGAGCTAAAGTTTTTCTCACTTGTATGTTCTATCAGTGCCCAATGGCTACCTCTTATTGGAAAGATGTTTAATACTTACTGATACACATGTTCTCAGTTACTGTACCTACCTTTTCTTCAAACTTAATGCAAGGTCAATGTAAAGAACATACATCATGTTTTCAGTTTTCACTTTTACTTGAATTTCAGATCCTTTATTATTTTGGATACAACAAAGCATTTTTACAAAGCTGCCCCTTCAAAGTTCAACATGAACTTCTTTTCATTACTTAAGGTTGCAGTTTATCCCATGCATCCTTGCTTAGGAGGAAGCCCCATAGAAATAAATGGGACAGTAAATGTGTGGAATTGCACATTAAAATCTGTCATTGGAGCAGATTTTGTCATTTAATAGATATAATTGCAATATTTCATAGATATCAAGAATCAACCAACCTTTGCATGCAGACATTATACTTCCTTCCATCTGCAAATGTACTGGGGAATAAGCCCTTTTTTACACAGTAGGATGATAAAGAAAACGAATAAAATTAGGCTGTACTATTTACTTCTCAGTGTAATATGTGACACGCATAAATTTGTAGTGGAATAAACAAGATGGTAGTCTGGCATTTTAAAATAAAGTATCTATTCAAGCCAGTGTCAGTGTTTCATTAGCTTGGCAAATACAGGAAATGCAAAACTCAGAGTAAATGTCAGTGAGTTAATGGCCTTGAAACCAACCAGAAGCAATATATAGCAAACAATCTGCTGCCCTTTCACAAAACCCGAGGCAAACATTTTGCTCTGCCGGCCTCATCAATTGAAAGTTTCCCAAATGTCATCTTGATTCAATGTCTTAGTTCAATGGTCTCTAGTTTAAGTTCTCATAGTCTGATGGCTTGATAGTTTGAGTTTTAGTTTAAGTTCTCATAGTTGGATTTCCAAGGCATAATAGCAACTAATTTTCAACAAATACTTAATATAAAGAGTATTAATAACAAGTCCATTGAGTTTCTGTCAAGGACTCCTGTCATTGTTAAAAGGAATATCGGTGACAGATTTTTGGCTAATGATACCACAGTTCCTTCAAATTAGATCAATTAAAACTGGGCTTGATGTAGTCATGACAGTGGGCTGCAACTGTTCCAGAGCTATCTCCATTCTGAGAGAGTTGTCAAAACAGGAATTTCAGATCCTTCTAAGAGAAGAGCTTCCCTTTAGCACTTTTGAGGGCAACTATGAATACTAGTTAGTACCATTCTTATCTTGTATTTAATCACTGTGAAGGGTCTTCAAGAAATATCCAGATTTTTGCTTCAATTTTATCTATTTTTCTTTTGTTTGATGTCAGTATGCTTGGTGAATGTCATAATGCTTGATGGAGAATAGTAGTGTCTTACAATAAGTTTTCAGAAAATGCAGTCCTTTATGGCACACTGAAGTACAGGGCAAAGTTTGATAGCACTTAGCTTTGTTGGGAGATGCATCCTTCCATTTTCTACCACCGGAGTACATCGTAATGCAGTTACCCTTCAAAATGCTGGATAACCTGGATACCTTTACTCTTTGCTGTCTGCTGTTTTTTTCCTGGTTCTGTTTCCTGGCTCTCTTTTCCCCCTTAGAACATATTCTGTGCTAGACTTCAAAATTCTGCACATACCTTTTCCAGTTGTACCTCTACTTTCTGCTTAGAATGCCACAGATGCTTGAGATTACTCCACTGTCCTCTTGGTATGCTCACACTGAGGACCAGAAGCCACAGCCTTTTGCCAAAATTCCATGATAATGTATTTTTTCTGTTTTTCCATGGGATCGCCCCACATTGGACAACACTTAGAACTATTGGTCTTTCAACACTTGTAACATCCTGCATTGATTATAGATCATTTCCTTCTTGCTTCTGAAACTGGACAGGTTTTTACTTACTCACCCATTAATTTTTTGAAGCTCAAGTTCTTTTCATTCAGTTTATGAAAAAAATGTACATTTTGTTAAGCTACTTTCAAAAACAACCCAAACAAATTTCTCATCTGCATAGCCAAATTCAGTAGGTAATATTCAATTTGGCTCATCTGCACTGAGCAAATATTATAGCATGGAGATATTTCTTTCCCAGCATGGAGAGATCACATTATATCTGTGTATCTTATAGCTATTAAAGATGAACAGCCAGTCAGAAAAAAAGATGACAACCCCTATTCAGTACTATAGGAATGGTTGTATATCTATGCATTCAAACCTAGACTTTGAAGAACTAAAGTATGCAAAGTTGTCTGTATGGATGAGGAAACCCATTAGCTTTGCTTTCTCCCACATTTGATTTTTCTTAAAGTTGCAAGTTCTTTCCATCCACTTTATGAAGGAATTTAAAAAAATTGTTCCCAAAAATATGAACCGACCAGAATCTCATCCACCTGTAAGATTAGTCAGTCTTTATACAATGGTGACAGGTTTTTGCTTATTTTGAACTGGTATTATCATGCAGAATGTCAGCATGTAAAGAAAGAATCAGAGGAGATGCCTTATGCAAGAGCTTCTTTGCAGATTAACGGAACAGTGAATGGATCCCATGCACCCAGGTCAAGGCACATAGACCCAAAAGCCAGCCAAATTATTTTGGCACTTGGGTAGAAACTCCCATCAGCTCTTGTTCCCATTTCAGGAGGAAAAACAAAAGAATTGTTGCTCTTACTTCCACAAAACCCCAAAAAACCATATTCTTCTGCCCAATGGTACAGCTGGCCCCACCAGTTTGAATGCTCTTCAGATGTTGTCTTGGTTCAGTGTCTTTATTTCAATGCATCTGCTTTAATGTTTCATGCTTCTGATGGCTCTCCTTTCCAATGCTTGATTCCTAATTCTGCAGAAATATGTGATTTGAGGAATACTAATTTCTTATACATTGATTTCCTTTCTAATGTCACACAAAACATCAGTTATCACTTCAATTCTTTATTACTGAGATGGAGTTCATGTTCCCAAATGACTTCAGGAGCAGGTTGTGTCACAGAAACAGGCCTACGCATCATAAGGTCTCCTGAGAGAAATGCAAAGAACTGCAAGCTAGGAAAATGCGTAAACCCTTTGCAGCCAAGAAACTGTTATCTACATGCTCCAATGTGGTAGCTTTTGCCATTAGCCCAAGCTATGATGTTTTCTGGTGGTTTGTTGCAAGCACCTGCCTTTGCCTGATCAGTCTGGCGACAGACTTCCTGTTAACTCCTTGAAATGAGATTTATGCAAACCCAGCTAGCTGTTGTGATGTCACGCTGGGCAGCAACAGCTCAAGGGCTATCTCCATTCTACAGATACTTGGTGAAATCAGGAACTTCAGATCCGTCTAAGGGAAAGCCTCACCTTTAGAACTCTTGAGGAAAAGTATGAAAATTAGTTAGGGGCATTCTTATCCCGGGCTGAATCACGACAAAGGGGCTTCAAGGAAGACCAGGATTTTTGCTTTAATTTTTATGTATTTTAATTTTGTTTGACGTCTTTCAAAAAAGCTGGATAGTCGAAATTACAAAGTTCACAAAGAAGTTGGCTGAATGTTGCAAGCTTGCAAAATGGAAGGATTTTCCCTCATTTCCCCTGTGAGTATGTGAAATTATTTCCAGATTTGTCTCTTTGAGTTTACTGACCATTTACTAAAAAAAAAAAGAAAGAAAGATTTGATGTTGAAAGGTGTCAGACTTCCAACATTCTTAATGTTTGTAAACTCCATGTTGGTCCTTGGTGAACATTAGTGGCTCCTTATTTAATGAATAGGAAGTTGGCATTTCCTTTCATCTCTACCTGCTTTCACTGATAAGGCACTGTGTTAATTTAGAAGCATAGTAAACTCATAGACTTTTCTGCAAAAGTTGGTTTTGTGGTTGAAAAAGTTTTGTCCAGTTCTGTAAGGTGTACGCATTCATAATACATGGCTTTCTGTGAAGCGGAGGCCAAGACATGGCCAAGAACAAGCAGCTGTATTCAGTACATTCTAGATGTATCTTCCCATTTTACAGACTGTATTTTGTATTCAATATGCAAGCTTTGCCTAGAAGTAGTCTGGATCAGTTTTTTTTAGGATGGTTGGTCGACTGTTACCTTAAACAGAGTCAAGATTTGCTACTCTGGACTCACTCAGCTTGTCTCAGCTGCTCCATCTTAAATGGGGTGAAACCAAAAAGAATCATGACTCCCATGCCTAGACCGATCAGCTGAAGTTCTCATGATAAATTTCTAACCCCCCTTTCTTGTTCTCCATACAGATTTGTTTCTTTTAACTTATTAACATTTCAGATCTGCTGGCCAGGCCTTCCCTTGCCTTTCTCCTTTCATAGTTTCATATGGTTTTCATAGTTTTCTAAGACTACTTCACATAAATGCAGTCTAGAAATTTGAGCGTTATATACTTGGACAAGTATGTAGAGCGGATTCCATATATATACCATAGGCAAGCTTAAACCTCAAAAAAATCTTTATAACCCAAACTCAAATAAGGTTACTCAGGATTAGGTCTTGCTGAATCCAGTAGGTCCACCTTACTTGTAAATTAAATATGTATGTACTGCATTTAATTTTAAAGTCATGTGGGAATACCACGGTTTCCCCAGATAGTTCCCATTAGCTTATCTTAACTGTGCCACAGTATTTGAAAAACACGATAAATAGATTTTAATGACTTATGGTTTGAGGTATGCTTGTGCAGCTGGAAAGGACTGGCATTTCAGAACAACAACACTGTATTTTCAACTTTCGCTTTCACTTGTATTTCAGATCCTGAAATATTTTGGACATAAGTAAAAGTTTTTACATAGCTGCCCCTTAATCTTGCAGTCCTATGTATCCTTACTTAGGAGGAATCCCTAATTAGGAATCCCTAATTGGGCCAGTATATGTGTGGATTTACATATAAAATTACTCTTAGTTGTGCAGACGATGCCAGTTAATATGCATAATCACAATATTTTATGGGATGGGGGTATTGGGAACCAACAAAACATTGCCTACAAACATTATACTCCCTGTTGTCTATACACTCATCCGATAGGTCTTCTCTCAGAGGATTTTCGCAAGTAATGCTAGGAATGCAAGTATGTGTACAGGTACTGGGGAGTAAAGGAAATAGTCCTTTTCTATTCAGTGGGATTTTAAGTAAACCCAAAGAGAATCAGGCTGCACCAATTGCTTCTTAATATAGCATGTGGCATTTATACATGTTGTAACGGGATGTATAAGATATTAAGTGCAGAATCAAGTCAAAGGAGAAGTTTCGTTATCTTGACAAATACAGGAAATGCAAAGCTTAGTTTAAATGGCTGTGGGTATGTGGCCTTTGCAACAAAGAACACAATAATTTAACTTTTTTTCTGTACATTTTTCTATCACATGCCATGATTTCTTAGCAGTCAGGCAGACTGTAACCCAAATCTTGTATCAGACTATACTGCAATTTTTTTAGCTACCCCCCTCAGATTAGACTGGCTCCTTTGGGGGTGTTTCCACACATGGCTACACATGTGTAAATGTTTTAAATTTAAGTCATTCCCACATCATATGTGATAAAATGAATGTTTCCTCAGTAAAAATGTGAACAGACAATGGTCTCAGCTGTGGTAAACTTCCATGTCCATAAAAATATGGGATTTTCCCTGAGTATCTGAAGTTTATATATCCTTATTTGTAACCTCCAACTCCATGCTGCTTTACATGTGTAAATTTACATATTTACATTTATATCAGACTTTCTCAACCTTTTTATCTGGGTGGAAACCTTGAAATAGTTTTCATATCTGTATACTTTAGTATTATATTACTACTACTACTATTATCTCCTTAGTCCAACTTATATACATGCACTCAGAAGCACCATGAAATTTGATAGTATTTCTATTGTTGTTTATTTTTTTAGTATGACATACCGCCCTGCCACCCTTCCCATAAGAACCACTTCACAGATTAAACAAACTGTCCAGGCAGTCTGAGCTACCTGTGGGAAGGGTACCCCAGGCATGAAGACCCAGAGATAGACTGCCCCTGCCAATGGAGGCTTCACTGATGGCCCACCACTTCATCCTTCTGTTGTTTACCAGCTGGGGCCCATTTTTGACTCCTTCTCCTCAGTGCCCAGTGCCCATCTGTAAATCACAGAGGGTGTGTGCAGTGAAAGGAGGATGTGAAATAAGGGCCACTGCTGGTCGCTTAACATGGGATCACTGCTGTACTGCTCCTTACAAGCCGGAGATGGTTGCGCTTCCAGGCATAGCCCCTTTCCGTCTCCCAGGGCCCCCTCCCACCTCCTAGGCAACCTGAGCAAGTGGAAGGACTCTTCCGGCAATCGCTCATGTGTATGTTCATAGCAGAAACACAAACACACATGAATGTGAAAACACCATGTTTGTTTCCCTTCTATATCCCTGGGGTCTCTTGTGGAACCCTCAGCGACCTTTTGTGTAATTCTGGGGTTCTGGGGGCCCTGGCTGAGAGAGGCTGGTCTAAACGCATCGACCTGGTCCTTTCTGGGTGCGTTCACATTCTCTCCTAGCAAGCAGCATGAGGTAATATCCTGTCCAGAAGGGTGGAAGCCAGTAGCAGTGGCATAACTGTGTGTGTATATGTATGTGTGGAAGCTGCACTCTTTAGCAACTTCAGGGGGATGACTACTGTTTGCGGTGAAGCATTATTATGACTGCAACCCTGTGGAAACTTACTGGAAAGTATGTTCCACTGAATTTACTGGGGCAGACTTCTGAGAAAACGTGCATAGGCATAGGCTAAGAGAGATGGCCATGGATCAAAGCAGGATTTATGGTTTCTGTTTAATTTTTCTATCACTCTTGAGGGTGGCTCTGTGTAAAAAATTCAGCTTTGCCTTTAATTTTTGGTTATGGGTTCAATGGTTTGAGTGGAGTTAGGGGAACATAAAAATAGTGCGAGCAGAATCTTCTCCTGTAATAATTCTTACCTTAGGTATTGCTTAAAGCCTTTCTACAGTATGAACATGAGGAATATGACATGGATAACCAACTTGGTTTGTTGAATGGTTGGATAACCAGCCATGAAAAGGACACCCAAATATGAGATGGGTTGATTCCATACAGCCTTGAGTTTATAGAAGTTCAGTGTTGGAAGACCAAGCTATGAATTCTTTGCAGCCTGCCCTGCCCTTCCTGAGCTACCAGGCTGTCCCCAGGTGCTGGAGGACAATGTCCCATTGCCAGGGTTCTCCTATCACCCTGGTCCATTTCAGAATAAGTTGACAGCCATTATATCCTTTGCCCCAGAAAGCAAAACCCCTTGGCCCTGCTTGTCGGGTATTTCCAGATGGATGACTCCTAGTGTGGCCAGTCAAAAGGCTGAAGCATTTGCATAGGATGGGATAGAAATGCCTTAAATAACTAAATAATAATAAGTAAATAAAAGACATGGTGAAGCTATTCCAACTTCCTTAACAGATATTTTGTGGTAAGAAACATGGAAGCAGCAGTGGGGAAACATGGAAGAGTTCCAGATAGAAGGCAGTGTGTTTTGCCTCATCTGGAAACTCTTGGTTTGTTGGTTTAAAGCAGGATGCTTAAAACAAAAGGGAAAAGGAAAGGCTATACATTGGGCTCAGTTTCTATGATATGCTTTTTGTGGTAGAAAAGATACTACAGAAAAGGGAAAGTTAAAGCATTTGAGGCTTCTCAGTTTAGAAGAAAGTGACTAGGCTTGACACAGACACGACAAAGGATTACAAAACTATAAATAGTCTGAGGATAATAGGCAGAGGGTCTTCTTGTTTATTTGTTTGTTTCCTTCAGAACGCTATGACTCCTTATTGTATTAGTGGCAGTAATACATTCTTATTTGCTTTTACTGAGGGCTTCTCTACATGTGACACTTGCTATGCCCTTGCAATCCTTCACTCACTGACACTGGTGGGTCCTCTGCACATCACCATCATCCGTGAGGGCCTCTCCTGCATCTCCCAGCAATGTTTGCAACTTTTTGTAGAAAGAGGAAAGCCAGCTATTAAAATTCACACCAGAACAAAGCCTCCTGTAGAGTTGCCATTCCACTCTACAACCACAGTGCCACCTTGTGGTTGTAGAAGAAGCCCAATTTTTAATCCAGATATATTTGTGAATCATGCAAACTATTTGTGGCCTGTTTTGAAACAGTAGGCATGACTTTGACTGACTTTTCAAACTGAATATGAATGTATTTTCCACTAGGCAAAAAGGGTCCACATGGGGTAACTTTGACAGATTTTGTTAGCTGGCAAGTCTACTTGTTCAAGGTGAGAAGTCCATAACAATAGTTACTGTATATTTCTTCATGCATCTATAAGGCATCTGTGCTTGCTGTATTGTAACATGTTCCTTGCCACTTTGAAGGATGGCCAAAAGTAGCTTAGGCTGAAAAGGCTTACCGTTGCATTAGTTTGGCCATCTGTTTGGCACCATCATTTCTCCATTCAGCATATCTCTGATGATTCAGAATTTTACATTTCATAGTAGAACTCAAAGACATGATAAACTCATGTTTATCAAGAAATCACTACAGCCACTGAGGGTGTAGTGTGATTAAACACTTCTTGCAGGTCACCCTTAGTTCAGTACAG